GAGCATGGCAAGATGCTCAGCTCTCCAATGTTAAACATAGGCATGTTACGCCGCCTACTTGTCCTCTGTCCTTACCACCACACAGTGTCCTGTGCTTCACGGATGCTTCCTGGATCGCTACAACTCGCGACTGTGGTGCTGGTTGGGGTTTTAAGGATGCTAGCCTGAAAATCATAAGTCAAGCCTCGACCTCCAGAAGGAACGTGGCTTCGGCATTGATTGCGGAGGCCTTAGCTTTGAAAACCGCTTTAATTGCAGCTAAAAATGCAGGATTCCGAACACTTTATTGTTTTTCGGATTCTCTCTTGCTTGTGACACCAATCAACACAAATGGTGTCACCAACGAGCTGAAATCGCTCCTTCATGACATCCTTTGTCTTAGGGAGAATTCCATTTGTATCTCTTTTGTTTTTATTTCTCGCTCGAAAAATGTTTTACCCGACGCTTTAGCTAAGTTTGGTATTGTATCTTTTGAACCCTCTTCCTAGTCTTCTTGGAGATGATAATACAATCGGTTTGATCAAAAAAAGATCTTCTGTGTAAACTTTAATCCAGAAAAATCAAAGTTTTTTGTGGTAAAGAGCTAGTATGAGTGTTTGTAAAATGTGTATATAAATAAACTGATGATATATAAAAAAAAATACATTAGGAATTGAGTTGGTGAAATAAATAATAATAACACACTTTACTAAATTACTAATTAGATAATTAGCTAGTAATTCGATTTTGGAGACATTTGAGCCCTACTTGGGTGTTGGAAAGAGGAATATAAAAGGGTCGAAGGTAAGCGGCGGAAAACGCGAGGAAGCCTTCCTTTATAACAAAAACCTCAAACTTCCCATTTGAATTCAAATTCACTCTCATCGATTTATCCCCAAAAACCTTTTTCTGCATCTCACTCACTTCCCACACACAAACCCTAAATCATTTCTTCAAATCTCACTCTTTTCTGCTTCGTATTCTGTTCCCCCCAATCCTTAATTGTAGAAACCCTTCGTTTTTCGTTCTTCTGGACTCTTTCTTCGCAATTCGGCATCTGGGTTTTGGGAAAAGAGAGATTTTTCTGGTGTGGAAAATGGAGGAACAGAGAGGAATTTCCTCTGGGGTTTCGTCGGAACCGGCATCGAATTCTGGGGTTTGGTTTCTTTTTGGCTTCTCCGATGACTTTTCTTTTTTTGTACTTTGTCAGATTTTGTTGTTATTTTTGCGATTTGTTTATGGGTTTGTGTTCTTCGTGTCTGGGTTTGTCTCAATTTTTTCAGAAGCGTAACGGAAATGGATTAGAAGAGAAAGATGAATTAGGGTCTAAACGTGCGAAAGTGTCAGATCCAGATTCTGGTAAATTTCTTCGAATTTGTTTGATTTTGAATACCGGATATGCTCGAATTCGATTATTAGAAAGGATCTTATCACTGAATTTTCGGATGATTTGTTAAAAATTTCTTGCTTTTTTTGGGTATGCTTGTGCTACTACAGATGCTAAAACCAGCAAAGACATTGGAATTGCTCAGAAACCAAAACTTAGTAGTGAACAGATGTCTGAAATGCTTGTGACTACTGATGCTGAAGGTTTAGGAAGGATAGTTAGAGAGAAGGAAGTTTTAGCTAAAGATACAAAACCTTCCACAGTTCTTGAGACGAGCACAAGCTTGCCTAAGGCCAACTCAATTTCTACAAATGATGATAAACGCGTTGGTAATTCTGGAAAACAGGCTTTGCTTGAGAATCATACTGTAAAAGATGATAAGAACGGTGAGACACGAAGAGGACATGTTGATGTCGTTTCAAAGAATAGCAGCGTCTTGAAACCAAAGGAGACTTCTGAATCTGTTGGAACTCCGCGTGGAGGAGCAGATCCTTCGGTTTCAGTTCCTAATAGCGAAGCTGGTTCATTGGGTAAGTCAGATTCGATGCGGCGATGGATGGAAATGAAGCGAAATGGTTTTCTATCAGGCCCTTTGGGTGGAGTAACAGCGCCGAGCTCTGCAGCATCGACTACTCCTGTTGAAGTACCTGCGCAAAAGCAACATAAGAATAAGCGGAGAAGTGATTCTTTCAAGAAGAGAAACGAGGTTCCTAGGAGGGAACAACAGCAGGCAGATAGGTTCTCGAATATTACCGCACCAAGTGGTTTGCTGACGGAATTGAACCCGGGAATCATTAACCATGTCAGAAGTAAGAAACAGGTCTTCTCAATTATTGAAGCGTTGATTCGAAGTGCTAATGATGATGCTACTGTGGGGGAAAGACATGCCGATTTGAATGTAAGAGGTATCTATCATTCCCATTTTCCTCATTAAGATGTTACTTTAGCCAATTCAGACCAGAGACAAGAACTTTCACAATCAAATGTCTAATCACTCTGTCTACCTTGAAATTTCAGAGTCAGTCAGAGAAGATATGGCATTAACCTTTAAGTTACCATCCACGGGGGTATCTGATAATGCCAATTCCATTACAAACCCGGAACATGCAACATCTCTTGCTGTTGAAGGTCAGTGCTTTTTTTTTTCCATGTTTCAGATCACCAGAAGTAAACTTTTTCCTGGATCTTCTAAGTATGACTGAAGTAATAAGTGCTTAGGTTCTATCATCTACAGCGAAAAATGAACACTTTTGTTAGGTTTACTGATTGAAGTTAGTCTAGAATTGACAGAAGGATAAATGTTAGGTATTTCCCTTTTTGGTGCATGATGATTAATTTATATGCAGAAGTGGAAACGGAAAGAAATCGTTAAAGGAAAATGTTTGTTTGCTTTTTAGCTGCTACCGTTGCTTCCCAATGGTTGGAATTTCTTCACCAAGACCTCAGCGGGCGCCTATCAGGTGCGCATTTACTTATTTGAAAGACAAAGAGGCTTATCGGTTTAATTAAGTTTTAGTGATCTGAGTAAGATCTTTTGCTTGTTGTTGCAGCTGTGCAGGATAGTAGGAAGAGAGTTCAAAATATTTTGACAACCGAGTTACCACTTCTCGCGTCATCAAGAGAATCTTCTTCTAACCAAGAAAGTACTCTTCAAATGACGAATGCGGATACCTCTGGTGATCCTTCTTCTGATAAAACAGTAACAGAGACGCATCAGAAGAGGTGGTCTGCAAAATTTGATCAAATTAACAAAGCTCTTTGTGATGAAGAGAGAGATTTGGTGCGTACAAATCCACTGCCTTCAAGTCAGAATGATTATAAACTATGTTTTAAAGCTCGAGGCGTTGTTCAATGTATTGATTCAATGGATTTTGAAATTCTCAGGAACGTTCGTTAAACCAAGTGAAGGAAATGCAGTCACGATGCAATGAAGGCCTACGACAAATGGACGAGTATTCACCCTTCAGTTCCCAATCATCAGATTCAAGGTGAGGAAATTATACTAAGAAGTCCCTTAAAAGCATATGTAAAGACCGGTTTAACCAATTTTCATGCAGTTTCGGGAAAGACGGCAGCAATGTGGAGACTAGTACAGCGGTTCAGGCGGCTGCAGCTTCCATCTTTTCAACCTGCAGTTTTCTTTTGTCAATGATGAAGCCGCCGCCTACCGGTTCTTAATTTTTTTTTTTGTTTTTTCGGTTCACCAGGTCTCACCGCCTATCGTCTTTTGTAATAGCACTTTTGAGGGTCATTATCTATAGTGTAATGTAAATAACAGGCGATTGATGTTTTTGTCATTCGTGCATGTAACAATAGAAGCGACCTTTTTTCATCAACGCTACAAAGCTAGCATTTGCTTCAATACACATGTCTGTTCTAGGAGAGTAAAGTTCTCTTTGTATCAAATTATGGAACACTGGATTTAATACAGAGAATTGTTTTCTCGATCCCCATACCACATAATGAAATGTGGTATCTAATTTCTCCTGAATGAAAGGTTACATGTACTGATTTTTATGAGCTAGAGCCAAGCCGGTGCCATTTCAGCTACTGTTACCTTAGCAGGCGAATTGTCTGGAATCTTGGCAAGTGAGCAATGTTGTAACTTAATAGACTCTGCATTGTCCACTGTCTTCACAACATACCTGGAAATAGAAACCCATTTAATCATAAGAGAGCTTTAGCATCTTCTGGATCATAAAATGAGTGCAAAGATTTTGAGAGTAAAATGACTAACCATCCATTTAAGCAATGTGTCATTATAACAGCCTTGCGTCCTACAAACCGTKGTGGTGTCCTTTTGTTTCCCTAAGCCATATGAACTTTTTGTCTGTTAAAAACATAGAAGTTGTATTTTCTATATTCCGATAAGTAACATTGGTTTGGTTGAAGATCGCAGACCTCTATGATAATATGATCTCCAATGGAGAAAGGAAACTGTATGCCTCTACTACTCTTAGGAGTTTCTGTGATGTTTGGATTGCAGAAACTTCTCTTATGCTGCAGAATAGAAGAGATAAAACTTTGCTTATCTGTTTTCTCATCGTAAGTGTAAGTTTACATGGTTGATATGTAACCGAAAAACAAACCTGATCCGACTTTTCTTTCCTTCGCTTCAGCGAGGGAATATAATCTGAAACTTCTTCTTGGCGGAAAGCATGAACTACAATTCTGAGAGCTGAACAATCCCATAAACTTGATCAGGAAAAAAAAATGATTACTCTTGAAGAGATTTGAGTCTCTTTTTTCAAAACAAGTAATATTGTTAGACTCACACAGATTTGGCTTTGCTGATCCTTCTGAAGTAGGTTGAGAACATGTAAAACATGCTTTCTGACAACAAAAAAATCGTCAAAACTCAGGATTATCAAGATTCACATATGAGAAAAAAACAAGAGATGTTCATCGGATTGGTTAAGGAATCATTTACCATTCTTTTAACTTCTTTCAATCCTCCGGCTCCAAAAGAATGTCCGCAAGGCAGTATCGTAGCATCATTCATTAAGGCTCCGCTAAATCGAAAGCAAAGCAACACAAATAGAGAACCCATCTCTGTGAATGTTAACAAGACGTAGCCTTTACACTATATCAACATTCAATCACACAGCAACAATCATCAAAGTACATTGACATTGACACAGATTTCAAAAACTAAAACTGATCCTAGTTCGACGAAACCATGATCAAAGAAGATGGCCTAAGTAACACTTACGTGACAGGATCAGAGAGGATGGACTTGAGAGACTCCCAAGAGCTTATACTGGTAGTGACTCTCTCTTTCTCCACAGAAGCAAAATCTCTCTTTGACTTGGAGTGATGGTGGGAATTAGATACTTTACCATCTGGATTAGTGATCATTCGATGGCGATCATTCGATGGTTTATCCTCCTCATCTTCTCTCACTACAAGTTGCCAAGATCCTGGGTTTAAAATCCAAACAAAACAAGAATTAGCAGAGGATTCGATTCGTCACTGAGAGCTTCAACAATAGTCGTAAGAGAACAGTGAAAGACTTTCGATACCTGGGTTTTTACTCTCTACAGCTGCAGAACTACCGGAATCAATACCAGGCTGAATCAGGACACCACGTCCTCGGTCGTCTTCGTCGTCATTATCTCCATCGGTTTCGTCCTTCTCAATTCTATTTCCGCAGAATCCTTGCCGGATTCTGGAAATCCCGAAATGCCGATCGCCGACGGTTTCGAGCTCCCGGCTCTTGGAACCGGAATCTCCGACACGGAACCGCAAAGAGTCGTCTTCTACATGGAATAGGAACCGGGGATCGATACTGTCGTTAACGGACATTGTTTTTCCGCCGGAAAATTCTCTCACTGATAAATGTCAGACCGTAAGAGAGAATTAAAAACGACGTCGTGTGTGGGGGACATGAGAAGCACGCGCGTCGTGATGGTTAATGATTATGGTCATTACCGTTGAAAACTTTTGGTGGGTCCCCCAAAAATTTCATGTGCACTCCGGTTTACAAGTAATTACCGTAAAATGCATCCGGTTTACAATCTCTTGAGCACTCCATTTTGTTCTACATTTAAAGATTCTATAATTGCTCAAAACACTTACAACATCAATACCAAAACCAAAAACTAATCGAAGACTCAAGTACGTAGGATCACAGAGTAGTAGCAAGTTTAGTTGGATATACGCGACCCAAGTTCCGGTTTGATAGGATGTCTGTAGTCTTCTCCTTCTGCAGCTGCTTATGGCCGCAAGGGTTTCAATCCCAGAGATGCTCTCAGTCTATTCGCTTCTGCAATTTCAGGATCTGGATGGTCCGTTCCA